CATAGCATTTTATCAAATCACCTCATTCTTTGGGGCACACGTGAGGAACACAAATGCAAACAAGCCTGAATGGTCCCCAGGACTATATACAACTGAAAACTCACACCCCAGAAGTGACTCGAACCCATACTCCCACAACTGGTATGTACAGGGACGCCTTAATCCGCTTGACCATCACGACCGGACATAAGGAAGTGATAGCCGAGGCTATATGAACCACTTCCCCGCCGGCACTCGGATGGTAATCTTGGGCATAGCATTTTATCAAATCACCTCATTCTTTGGGGCACACGTGAGGAACACAAATGCAAACAAGCCTGAATGGTCCCCAGGACTATATACAACTGAAAACTCACACCCCAGAAGTGACTCGAACCCATACTCCCACAACTGGTATGTACAGGGACGCCTTAATCCGCTTGACCATCACGACCGGACATAAGGAAGTGATAGCCGAGGCTATATGAACCACTTCCCCGCCGGCACTCGGATGGTAATCTTGGGCATAGCATTTTATCAAATCACCTCATTCTTTGGGGCACACGTGAGGAACACAAATGCAAACAAGCCTGAATGGTCCCCAGGACTATATACAACTGAAAACTCACACCCCAGAAGTGACTCGAACCCATACTCCCACAACTGGTATGTACAGGGACGCCTTAATCCGCTTGACCATCACGACCGGACATAAGGAAGTGATAGCCGAGGCTATATGAACCACTTCCCCGCCGGCACTCGGATGGTAATCTTGGGCATAGCATTTTATCAAATCACCTCATTCTTTGGGGCACACGTGAGGAACACAAATGCAAACAAGCCTGAATGGTCCCCAGGACTATATACAACTGAAAACTCACACCCCAGAAGTGACTCGAACCCATACTCCCACAACTGGTATGTACAGGGACGCCTTAATCCGCTTGACCATCACGACCGGACATAAGGAAGTGATAGCCGAGGCTATATGAACCACTTCCCCGCCGGCACTCGGATGAGGTGATTTGATAAAATGCTATGCCCAAGATTACCATCCGAGTGCCGGCGGGGAAGTGGTTCATATAGCCTCGGCTATCACTTCCTTATGTCCGGTCGTGATGGTCAAGCGGATTAAGGCGTCCCTGTACATACCAGTTGTGGGAGTATGGGTTCGAGTCACTTCTGGGGTGTGAGTTTTCAGTTGTATATAGTCCTGGGGACCATTCAGGCTTGTTTGCATTTGTGTTCCTCACGTGTGCCCCAAAGAATGAGGTGATTTGATAAAATGCTATGCCCAAGATTACCATCCGAGTGCCGGCGGGGAAGTGGTTCATATAGCCTCGGCTATCACTTCCTTATGTCCGGTCGTGATGGTCAAGCGGATTAAGGCGTCCCTGTACATACCAGTTGTGGGAGTATGGGTTCGAGTCACTTCTGGGGTGTGAGTTTTCAGTTGTATATAGTCCTGGGGACCATTCAGGCTTGTTTGCATTTGTGTTCCTCACGTGTGCCCCAAAGAATGAGGTGATTTGATAAAATGCTATGCCCAAGATTACCATCCGAGTGCCGGCGGGGAAGTGGTTCATATAGCCTCGGCTATCACTTCCTTATGTCCGGTCGTGATGGTCAAGCGGATTAAGGCGTCCCTGTACATACCAGTTGTGGGAGTATGGGTTCGAGTCACTTCTGGGGTGTGAGTTTTCAGTTGTATATAGTCCTGGGGACCATTCAGGCTTGTTTGCATTTGTGTTCCTCACGTGTGCCCCAAAGAATGAGGTGATTTGATAAAATGCTATGCCCAAGATTACCATCCGAGTGCCGGCGGGGAAGTGGTTCATATAGCCTCGGCTATCACTTCCTTATGTCCGGTCGTGATGGTCAAGCGGATTAAGGCGTCCCTGTACATACCAGTTGTGGGAGTATGGGTTCGAGTCACTTCTGGGGTGTGAGTTTTCAGTTGTATATAGTCCTGGGGACCATTCAGGCTTGTTTGCATTTGTGTTCCTCACGTGTGCCCCAAAGAATGAGGTGATTTGATAAAATGCTATGCCCAAGATTACCATCCGAGTGCCGGCGGGGAAGTGGTTCATATAGCCTCGGCTATCACTTCCTTATGTCCGGTCGTGATGGTCAAGCGGATTAAGGCGTCCCTGTACATACCAGTTGTGGGAGTATGGGTTCGAGTCACTTCTGGGGTGTGAGTTTTCAGTTGTATATAGTCCTGGGGACCATTCAGGCTTGTTTGCATATATATATATATATATATATATATATATATATATATATATATATATATATATATATATATATATATATATATATATATATATATCATTAACAATTGTGTAAGTAGCTTCAAAAGATTGCCACTTGCTTTGCTAAATGAACTATGGGGTTCATTTCCTGAACCCACTATGTTCCTCTGTAACCCCTTCCTCAACCGCCCACGGGATGGGTATGGGGTGCATAATAAAGAAAGCAATTTAATTATTACATTTGTCAAGGAAGAGTTTCAGATCAGGATTTGCATTTAAGAACAGGGTTCTTGTAAATCAAAGTGGCTCAAGAAAATGTGTGGAGTGTGTTTATGTTCAGTATGTTTAGGGATGTTGTCTGAAAACAGAGTTTGTTATTGTTCAGATAGCAGATTTTTTGTGGGTGATGATGGGGTTGAGATGGTTTGCAGAGGTTGAAATCCATGCACAGATACCGTATGCAAGTTAGGGATAGATTAGCGCGTAGTATAATGAGAGGAGAGCAGAGTTAAGAACGTAATATCTGATTTTAGAAAAGTCTGTGACCCCCTGCAACGGATACAGGCACACAATAGAACTGAAGGAACACAAACTCCAGAACTTTGTTTGAACTACACAAGGAGTAGACAAACAATTAACTAAAACCATACCAGACACAACACACACCCAGCACAGCCAGAACATGCAAGGATGGAAGACGCCTCCGAACCGCACAACAGGACACGCATGCACAGAAGGGTCACATGTAGAACAATACAAACACACAACACACACACAGCTCCGTCGTAGTGAGCAAAGCGGGAGAAACACCACAGCACCCTGCGACAGAAACACTCGCACACAGAATTAAGGTCCCATATACAAAAGGGGCCAACCATCACAATGGCAAGAGGAAAAAAATATTGCAATTCACATGGCAACGTCGAACACCGCCCTGTAACATGACATGGAAAGGGCAGACTTCAACTCAGGGCCTCCTTAAAAAAAAAAAAACTTAACACCATATACTTCACACAACCAGTCATTCAAAATAACACGAGAAAAGAAACGCTCATGAACTTTAAAAAATGGGGACGCAGCCGCAAACTCACGGGTGAAAGACAGGACACAACGCATCAGGCGGCATATTAATTGTCATCCGACAATTAATATGGAAATCAGGACGATCAGGACGATAAACGTTCCTAGAAACCCGAGAAGCAGGGAGGGGGCGCACGAAGAGGCGGAATCCCCAAAAGGAGAGGGCACAGACCGTCTCTTAAGCACCAACCGTTAAGTGTCCTCGCGATCACCGGCACTAGGCTCAACCCCCCCCCCCCCCACAGAGACCCATCTACATACGGAGGCCCGCACACCGGTAGCAACAAGAGAGCAACGTTTTCCCCGTCCCTACTCCGGGTCAACCACATCCTCCACCACCGCACCAATGTCATCCTCCAACTGCTCAACAGGGTTTTCAAAATCTCGGGAAACACACCAAAGAAACCTTCCTCTGCCTCTTCTGTTCCGGCACCAGCGGAGCCAGACCCGATGCTTCTTGAACTCGACGTGGGGGACGTACACCATTGGCAAGGAAGTCGGAGACGCCTCCCGAGACGAGGGGAGAAACCCTCACCCCTAGAGGCCCTAACTGCAGAACATGTTCACCAGATCCGCTCCCCAAAGCAGATGGGGACGCCACCTGCGGAGCCGCCACCACTACCACATCAGTCGACACACAGTGCACCTCCACCGGCACATATGGCTGCACACACAGCCCGGGAGGCATATCCCCATCCACACACAGGCGGATTGTCAACCCTAGGGAGCACAGTGCGCTCTACCGGCTTCTGGTAGGCATCTGGGACATGGACACAGACAGGTGCAACTTCAGGAAGGCTGGGAAACGGGCCAACTTTATCAGGCAACACGTCCGCAGAATCCTGCTGGGTACGGAAGGAGCTAATAGTCATCTTCCCTGAGGATGTTGACACGATCAGTCGCTCCCAGGGAGCAAGCCACCGCCAGGTAGCCCTGCTGGCAACATTTATAACAAGTATGGGACTGACCTTTCTACAGTCAGTGGAGCGTAAACCCCATCAGGGATAACGAAAACGGGGCACTCCGCCCCAAGGACATCGTCACAGTCCGGGTGCTAGCAAACATCCCCTGACATTGGCCACCAGATGATGTAATATAATGTAATGATGTAATATAATGTATTAAGGAAAATGTGCGTATTTATATGTGATATCCACTTCATTCACACAACCATATTACCTGCCACATTTTAACGCGTGTATTTTCAATAAAACGTAACGCATTAGGATTGCAATAGATTCAAAATGTATATTAATCTGTGTTCGTTCATATAATATAATTGAGGAACTTGGGGGGTATTAACTGAGAAATGGAATTCAAATTGTTTTAAATGAAATTAAATTGTTTTATTGGTATGTTGAAAAAGCAAGAACGTCACAATAACTGTGATTAAGTCCCCACAAACATTGACTGGTTTAGGACACAACAAGCAGATAACGTTCAATGAGGCTTCTAAGCCAGCAGTCAGCTTAGCAAGAAAGATCGAACCAGGTGCTCCAAGAGACCCACCACCTGAGCCCACTGGTGTGTGTGAAAACAGCACACATAGCACCTAACACCACACAGGGCCCACCACCTCACTAGGCCCACCACCTCACAAGGCCCACCACCACACTTTTTTATTTTGTTTTGGTGTAAGTATTAAATAGAAAATGGAAGATTGTGGTATAGGCAACTGATACACAATTTAAGATCTTAATTTTATTCCAATTAGTTTTCCAGCAAGGCCAATGTTATTGGTTTCTTGAAGCTGTTGATTTCTTGCATTTGTTGGTTCCTTGCATCTGCTTCATTCTTGCATTGTTGGTTTCTTTCAGATGTATTTACTGCACAAAAGATGACGGTATTCATCTAACAGAGTTCACATGTTGATGCCTAATATACATTCCGACAATTTGCATATTTTAACAGCGAGTGTATGGTCTTTTTCATATGCTAATGCACTTAGCCTATCCTATGTTGACATCTTGGATATTTTGTCATTTTATGGTTTACAATTGTTTATCGCTTACACATCTTTCTCATTATATTGTCACATATATACAGGTGTCTTGCATATGTTGATATCACTGGTGTGCTACTGTCTTCTGTAAGTAGGCGACTCATCTTATGCACATGTTTGTCTAATGTGTTTTCTGGAAAGCTATAAAGCTTATGAGATTTGTTTTCTATTTAGAAAATGATCATACTACGTAATAAATAATTTGTAATAGCCTTTAGCAATATTTTATTTTATTGTTAACTTTTGCACATAAAATAATCGTTTTAATACAAAAACAGTGACATTTAATCCATTAAATTTAAACTGGTAAATTTAGATCTTTTATTAATATATCTAAGTTATATTTCCTATCTCTTAAGTTACCACAATTAATGAAGTAAATTTTAATTTAATCTTTGTTTAATATTTTTCATAATAGGCCGTATTTTCTTCTTTGTTGTAAATTGATTGTGGGTGAACTAATTAATTTCTAAACATTATAATTATATATTTTTTCAGCTGTTGCTTAAATAAAAATAATCATTAGAGAAAATTATGAACTCTTATCAAGGATGACTGTAATGTTTTGATCTTAACTTCTTGAGATGGTGCAGCGGTCTTAGGCTGTCGACATGGTCTTGCAGTAAGACCTGTCCTAGATGACTACTTCAGGAGATGGTGTGGTGATCTTGCAGTAAGACCTGTCCTGGATGACTACTTCAGGAGATGGTGTGGTGGTCTTACATAGTCGACGTGGTCTTGCAGTAAGACCTGTCCTGGATGACTACTGCAGGAGATGGTGTGGTGGTCTAGCAGTAAGACCTGTCCTGGATGCCCTGGATGCTCTGCCGTCACCGTCATCATCCCCCTGTTAGGTACAAGTAACTGTATGAGACAAAGAACACAGATGAATGGTTCAGATAAAGTTGGAAAGGTAGTTTATATGTGGGTGATACAAGGACGTGGACCAACACCCGGATACTACTGGGGAAGTTAGTTTTACTTTGTTGCAAATTGGAACAATTATGTGGATTGTTTAACTGCATAAAATACTCTTTAAACCATATTACTGGAAATTTTCTGGAAGCCTGCTACCTTTTTCCTATAGTACTATTTCCCTATTTTAGATTTTCCATTTTCTCATCCATGCTTTACGCTATTTTTCTTTCCCAATAATTTTCATCTTCATTTTACTCCATCTTTATTTTATAATTTTACTGTTGCACAACTTTATCTTTATTACATATTAAATTCACCCACTCTCATTACTTTGACAATCCTCATTTTCCCGAATTTTATTGGGTTGAGAATTACACTTTAGTAAATATATTTCTCACTAACGGAATAAGTGACTTAATTTAACATACCTGAATGTACCGATTCGTTATCATTAGTGGTGTTCCTTACTCTTATCGTGCTTGGCTGGGGTGGGATGGTTTGCTGGTTGAGGTTGATGATGGGTGGTGTGGCGATGGCAGTGAGGGTTGTGGTGGTGGACGGTGGTTGTTGGGGCATTGGTGGTTGTAGTGCAGGTTGCAGCCACAATGCCAGTATTGTTCCATTTGCAGTTCGTCAGACACACCATTTCTGTGCAGTTCTCGGATCTGGAGGAAAAAATATATATTTTCAAATGTTGAAAATCTTCCCCCAGCCTCACTCGGTGCACCGTAAAGAGGATTAAAAAAGTATCAAGACCTTACAAGACGGCTTCAGTATGATGAGTGTAGCTGGAAGGTCATCAGAAACATGAAAATGATGAGTCCTGATGGGTCACCAAGGTGGTTTTACAAAGTTCTCCTTCGGGACCGTTGTGACTCCCACGAAAACAAAATAATGCAAATTAGCACGCAAGAATTCTGGTAACAGGGACATCAGGGTGAAAGAAATTCTGCCCATTTGTTTCTGCCGGCACGGGAAACGAATCCCGGTCCACAAGACTACGTATCAAGCGTGCTGTCCACTCAGCCACTGGCTCCAGAAAAAAGTGTGTGTGTAATTACCTAAATGTAGTTACCGGATGAGAGCTACGCTCGTGGTGTCCTGTCTACCCAGAACTCTTCAAGGCGTTATATGACAAAGACATAGTCTTTGTCTCATACAGTTACTTGTACCTAACAGGGGGATGATGTCGGTGACGGCAGAGCATGTGGGAACCGACCTGTGAGATTTATATTTATTTAATTTATATGAATTTATATTTACGTTAATTTATATACTTCGATAGCAATTTGTATAATGATAAGTGGACTGTATTTCTGCAATAATCTCAATCTCACAAATCGATCCTCTACACATTAGGGGGGGTTTATATTTAATATATATGCAGCCAATCAAACTACAGAATTAACTACATACATTGAAGAGGTTCCTTATCTTATAGTACAGCAGGTTAGTCCACCAGGTATAACTAGGGTGTAGACACCAAATTATCCTCTTTGAGGTAGCTTCCATATCACCCAGTAACTGGTGCACAAAATCTTGCATCCTCGTCTTGACCTGTCAAAAGTGCGCTAGCTGTGAAGCCAGAATCCTATATATGACAAGTATTTCAGAGAAAACAGTACATGGAACATGAAGACCTGGCTTAATTACCTTTAGTTTGAGGCTTCCATGTGATCTAATCGGGTCACCCTATATAATGACATTAATGGCCACTAATGATAAATAATGGGTTTCGGAAAGAACACTTAACTTGATTTGTTGACAGCGTGTTGACAGATGGTACACCTTTGGTATCCATAACACTACGTCCAAGTAAAATTAACAGGAGCCGAATTTGCTCCCGTGTGAGCCTCTGGTCTCGTATAACAACAATGGCTGCCCTCCTTCCCCACTCTGACGCCTGGCCTACTTTGTCCAGATTTCAGAAAGTGATAGAAGGGTCACATTTACTCTACTTTAATATTGATAATTAAGTTAATTTATATAAGATGTTTTTATGATGGTAAAGTCGAAAGACTAATGTATTTAAGAATAATTCCCAGCAGAATAGCTGGTGAATTATAATAGTATGTGGTGATGATATCCCGTTTTCTTTAGACGGTAATTCCACTACAAGTTACGTTTTCTATGGGTAACTTGTTTATATAACACAGCTCTTATCTGTATGATTATTAAATGGTGTCGGATTTTCCGACATAATTCCCCAGGGGGCTGCTCACGGGTCGAAGTCCTATTTAGAACAGACGAACACCGATACTCCTCCTTCGAATTATTAGATTAATTTGATGTTAGTAGTTAGTAATCACACATTTGTGTGTCTGTTCGTACAGGACGGATGTCCCGTACTAGAGTTGCAGGGGTTAGAAGTCTAATGCGATTTCATTTCCCTGTTAACTCTTGAAAGGCTAATATTCAAGCCTTATTACATATTATTTAACCCAGAAGACTGGATGTGATCAAGTATTACAGTCAAGTATGATTCAGGGACTGCAGTGAGATCAGTGACATAGATATAACTTGAAGTTTGTTCAGGTAACTGGTCACTGATATATAAACACTGAGGCCCATGGAATACATCTTGATTAAATAATAAATGTATCAAATCAGTCATCAGATTTATTGGGGTTTAATTCAGTTAATTGATTCAGAGGATTGAATAGCTCATCATTAAAGTAAAGTATGGTTCTGAGACTGCAGTGGGTTCAGTGACATTGGTCGCAGTGACTTGTAGCTGTTTTAGGCTACTGTTCACTGATTTGCCACTGAGGCCTCATGAAATCATCTCCAGCTTTAAATGATGATACTAACATCAACCTCTGTTGGTATAGTCAGCTGTAATCTCCTTAGTATAATGCTACTGGAGAAATATAATCAGCTGACAAATTTAGAATTCTACTGGTATTGTTTATCTGCAGGCATAGGTCTCCTCAGGCTTGATACTGGGCCTGAGAGTAATTTACCTCCTGCAGAGTTTAACATGGTTATACCCTGATATTTAGTAGGGCTACCGATGAATCGATGACAATAGTCTGTCCCTACAAGGAGACCGAAGTCGGTGAGGTGATCAGACTTAATATTATCTGCCAATTTTATTCCTCTATTTCTCAGGAATTTGGCTGTTGCTCTCAGACCTTGAACTTGTAGGTCTACTGGTATTTTGTCCACCACAATGGCTTGTACTCGACAGACGTACCTGCCTAAGCGTACTGATGGTTGTACCACCTGGTAGACTTGAGGTCCTGCATCTGTTACAAACCCTGAGATGTTGAATGACGTCTGGGCTACAGGCCTTAATTGTAGTTCATCTGCCAACTTTTTAGTGATGTATGTTCTTTGGGATCCTTGGTCAAACAACCCACGGGTATGGACCTTGGCCCTCTTATTCAGGATGGTAATTTGGGCAGTAGGCAAAGTCGTATTACCTTTAGACTTTGCCGATTGGACACTCTTTGTTGGTTGCACCTTGCAGTACTGTACTGTGGTGGGAATGCTATCTTCCACCTTGGGGTTTGGAGACGTTGTTTTGGTGTCTCTGCACAATGCTGCATGGTGCTGACCTTTGTTACACCTATTACAAGGGTGTAATTGGGTATCACAATCCTTGATGTTATGTTTCCTGAGGCACCTCGTGCAATGTTGCAAATCTTTGAGTCGCTCAACACGGGCGTCACTATCAGGAAAATTAGAGCAGTGGTACATTGAATGTTTCTCATTGCAGAACAAACATGTTCCATAGCTTCCAGTACCCTTTGGTGTCACGTTCTTGGGTGACACAGTAACTATAGGCTTGGAGGGTCCCACTGCATATACGCCCACACTGCCACTGTTCCACTTTGGTGTTGAATTATATTGTCTAGATTGATTTGGAGTACCTTTGGTACTCTGTGGTTTACTATTATTGGTTTCTGAGGGTTTACTTGGTGGTTTTAAATTGTCATGTGTTCGTAATTGATGAACTACTGACTTTAAACCTTCAGATATTTCATTCATGGATAAGATGCTTTTATTGTAATGAGCACTTATTTGTCTCAATATGTCCCTAGGTATTTTCTCCTGGACAATTATTTTCAAGACCCACTCAGCCCCGTTTGTATCTGCTGTCAGGCTGAGGGCATTGATCAATGATTCTACCTCCAGCTTGAAGACTTGGAGTGAATCAGCTGAAGCCTCCGGTGGGGGTAAATGCAACAGCTCATGAACTAAATGTGATGTTCTTACTTCTGGATCAGCATAATTATCCTTGAGGAGTTTTACTGCCAGATCATAGCCGTCATTAGTTAATCTCAGATGGGATACTACTGTTTTAGCCTCACCTGATAATTGGCCTTGCAAATAAGAGAATTTACTACTCTTTGGTAAAGATTGTTTTGAGTCTACAAGGTCAACGAATTTGTTCCAAAATTCGTCCCAATCTTCCTCATCTTTTCCTGAGAAAGTGGGTAAATTAATTGGAGGGAGTCGAGCTTCTGCTTGACTCGTATTAGATGCAACTGTTGTTGTTGTTGCTGTTGCCTTGTTCTGGGCAATTAATTTGACATAAGGCTGTAACGTGGCCTGAGTGTGATCTTCATAATTCGCAAGATCAACCATAATGTCGTCTATTTCTGTTTCTGATAAATTGGTGTTGGCAAGTTCAGCCACATATGTTGCTATTTGACATTTGATTTGCTCAAATTTACCTGCAGCTGCTTGATAATAGCTTTCCAGGTCAGCATAATCAACTTGAGATTGTTGTGACAAATCTTCACATTTCTTGATCTGTCTTGTTAAGTGGCCTTTCAGACCTGCAAGGGTTCTTTTCATTCTCCCTGCATTATCCATACTGGCTAGTTGGTGAAGCCTTGTGGGGCTTGTACTTGGGCTGCTCATAATACTGAACAAACACTAATGATAGCCTAGGGTAAATTCTGCACTCACTAGGCAATAATCCTACCTCTACTAGAAGTTAGCACTTAAAATTAATACACATTATATATATACAATCATACACACTAATGATTTAAGTGATAAACCAGTGTCACTGGAAGTACCTTTAGGTTAGCTCTTCTATATCACCCTAGGATGGTAGAGACACTAATTAATCACTCAAAGGTGTAATGATCATAAGTAAATTATTATATATACAACTCAACTCGAGTTGATAAAAATTACACCCAAAATAGGGTCTGCACCATTCATTAATGGTGTTAGGTTGTTCAATATAGTACAACTGACTATGGTAATAATGGGACTAGGATGAGCAATAATAGTTCAACTAGTCAATGGTAAATATCCTACCCTGTTGTGGGTTGGCAATTAGTAAATATTATACTGTGATCACTAGTGCAATATATATTAAATAATTCTCTATTTTGGAGAAATAATATACACAATTATTGATAATAGCCTCTTAATTAGCCTCTATGAAACTTCTAATATTATCAAGAAGTATTAAATATTATTAGTGACCTCGCGAAATAAAGTCCACAAAATTCGTAGATAATCTCTCGCGAAATGTAACACCACGAAATCCGTGAACAATCTCGCGAAGACACAGTCACTAATTTGGCTGGATTCTATATTAGCGCTGTCATTTCACGAAATAACACGCCACCAAATATGTGTGGGTGTGCATGAAACCGCTGACGAAGCTGAACTGGGCTGAGGGAGGCTCCTGAGCTCC